AACCGAACACACTGATATGATAAGACTATGGATGTGAAGCAACTGCGAAAAAAACGTGCCTACCTAAACTTCACTTGGTCATTCGCAATGGCGGATAGAACTAGGGATGTGACTATTGAAACTGTAGAAGTATCGATATTTTGGTATTGGTTTTAGTTGATTTTCGATAAAATATCATTATTTTATGATTCATCTGGATTTGATTTTTATCTAGCTACTAAACATTACTAAAAATATTAGCGAAATATATTTAGTAGTTACTGCGTGCACTATTACTCCGGTCGATCGTGTCCATACATTCACATCATACCTTTCACGATACATATGTATCGTAATTTATGAAAAGGATTTACCATCAACTGGTTAACATTTACATACTTAAGGTTAAGTAATTTTTGAGGGTCGAAAAATAAGACTGTTTCAAAGTATTCATAAAATCAAGATTTATACATAATATAGTTACAATATCTTTGTATTTTTCGTACTGTTTCCCAGTAATGTAATCTGCAACTGACGACTGACTGATTTCGAGACGACTCCAGAACTGGTTCCAAGTTTATTTTCATGCACAGATCTGGCTAGAGGCTGCAACATAAATAGTATAATTTAACTTACTTGATTCAATCGAACATAGATTATCTCTATAGATTCTATAGGTACTGTACTAAGGTCTGAATGAAAATGTTTGTACATTACAATGATAGTGATAGATAGCGGAGGAGTTATATTTCATTTGTTTGCTTCATTGGAGTCTCTCGAGCGGTATTTGATAAAAATACAATTTAGAAATAAATGCTTTTCCCACAAGTATTTTTCCGTATCTTATATTGTACAAAAATTATTCATGTTTTGTATTATTTATAACATTACGTAGGTATTGATTATGGTGGAATATTGTCGATAAAATAAAATTTTTGACGAGTACATATTTAATGTTTTTGCATTTTGTCATTATGTCAAATTAATGCACTTTATCATTCAGAATTTAGTATAGTTTTTGTTCTACTTTTGAAGCATTTATTAATATGAACGATAAAATTATCGATACGGGAACAAACATGTACATCACTATTTTTCAATGAAAAAATTTTTAGACGTATTTCAACTAAATTTAATGAAAATAAGCACTGCATTAGTTAGAAAAGTATTGTATTTAGTCAACTTGCAGCAAGCTCACTTGAATAGTTTAAAAAACAGAGATATTTTAATGAAAAATAACAGTACTTACCGATGTAATGTTACACCTGCCGATTTAGTGATACTTTTAGTGCTACATCCAATAACACTACACCCGGGCATAGTTCTTCTCACTAACCAATAATTTCTTTGCTTACCACGCACAAAAATAACAGGAATTCTAAAAATTTTCGTAACAAAATATTATTGACCAATGCTTTGACAGCTGATGTACCACTGACATGCACTGATAACAGAGACCAAGATGGCGAATTCGGCAGAACTAGGTATTTTTGATGACGTCAAAAAATTATTGCCAGAATGACAATAATGTGTTGTCTCTTTCTGCATAAGCAAAGAAACATAAGTAAAAAAGAAACAACAGTATGTTTATGAATTTACCGTCGAGATGGATCTTAAATTCTACCCGTAGACAATAGTCACACATCTATGTTATATATCTATGACCGAACAGTAAACAAAATCAATCGACATTTCGACAGATGATAGACTGTTTACGTTGTTATTGTTCATTGTTCATTACTTTAATTATGCTGTAACATAATTACACCAACTAAGGTGTTATCCCGTGACATATTTGACAAACTGCCAATATTTTATCTTTGGTAAATTAGTAATGAGTGACATCGACGTTGATCGCTAATTATTCTTCAGCTGATCTTAGCGTCTGTTTAGCTTAACGATAAATAAATATAACGAGTGGACACGTGCATTGTTATATCATAAAGAATTTTAAAAGCATTTTCTTTGCTGATGTTTTGTATTTTATAATGGATAGTTTTGCAGACTGATGAAAGGCAGGTAGAAAGCTCTGTTCAAATTATTGTATTTTCATACCAGGGTTATTTTCAATTTAGTTTGAAATATCAAAATGAAATACCACAGGCTACTAAGAGACAAGCGTCTTATATAGCATTTTGGAAGCAATGTAAAAAGAAGATAATAGCGAAAGCAATTCGTAAAATGATACAAGTAACATAAGTGTTAAAAAAAAGATAATCGTCTCAATACAAACTAGTTTTGAGCCTAACACCGTTATCATCATAGTTAAGGGCCAAGCTAACATTCGTCTGCCAGCGACATTCCCGTTAACCTTCTGTGAAAAATCGAGAACACACGCCATAGAACTGTACACTATGACAATCAATATCGATCGCTCAACAAAGATAATACATTCTGAATTATTAGTTAGGTGAAGCGCTTAGTGTTTACTTTTCCATGCACTACATTGTCCATCCGTTACAGTTTTACTTTCATGATTCTACAAACAATAACATTTAGCACTTACTACTATATGCCACATATGACACAGTTTGAAATGTGTGAATGTAAATTAGAAGATAAATATAACCGAGTCAAACATGAAGAGCAGTTGTTATGTTTCAAAAACATGTCACCGAAATGTAGGTGGAAATCTGAGAAAATAAAAGTTTTTAAACCTTTTTTTAGGTACGTAGTAGCTTAAAAAACGTTTTTGACTTTTAGCTTGTAGTTAATAAAATGTGATATGAACAGGATGACAGAAAAATCCACCAACCACAAAGTTAAACCTTCTTTGGTTCTTAGGTGGAAATTCACTTTTCACTAGAAATAGTTAGAAATGAGCGTAACGAGCCTATTGCTAGAAACCGTTCAATACCCAACCTCCTTGTTGCTACTGCGAAATTCGAAATTAGAAATTCGTCGAAAGCTGGTAATAGCGATCATAACAATGTGACAGTCGAAGTTTCTAGAATATTAAACTAAATTAGTTCTGCGTCAAATACCCACCGTCTTAAATATCCATTATCCAGTTGAATGCTATGAAATGTAGCGCTAACAATAATACAACTATTAAAGATCCATGCGGAAATAACAGTAAACTAAACACGTCGACAATGTCAACTATTTTTGAGACATCATCATAATTCCACTTGCCAAGAAAACCCGCATGTCCCGTCACGCCCTCTTCAGGGCTTTCCTACGGTATTTATAGAATTTTTTGCGTCACATAAATTTCCTCGCCTCAGAAATTCGTTGGTCAATGTCAAGTTAGAGTAAGTTATGTTCGTGTCAATGTTAATGTATGTAACATATGAATCACGTTTTGTTTTTGTATTTAAGGGCATAGGAACCAGGTTTCCGAAAATATATTTCTTACTTATTCGAAACTTTACTTTTGTTCCATAATATTATGCGCAAATGGAAAAATAACCACGTCTACAAAACTAAAACGCTCAGGAAAAATAAGTTTGTTGATTTTATAACTTTTGACAGAAAGTTTGAAATCTACGTGAAAATCATGCTATTCTCGATAAAATAAGACGAAAGAAACATGACAACTTGTATGTACATTAAATCAAAAGTCAATCAAAAAAGAAAATTCTCGGTCGAAAAGATTGACGTCGAAACTACTATTTCAAATACAAAGATTTTTTCACATCGTACAATTGACTTTTCTACGTACGAATTACGACAATTCTTGTATCTAAAATTGTCATCGTACGAGACTAGCGTACTGAACTGAGAATAGCGTGGACAACAGTCGTGTGTGTCACGACGTTTTTATAAATACTCAGTCAGTAAACCAGCACATTTTTCAGTTGGCTTCGCGTGACCAATTTCCTTTTGACCTTGCATACGAAATTCAAGATCGGGTTGCTTGATCTCACACACATTTTGTTTTTCATAATTTAATTTTAATGGGTTGAAATCCGTCACTGCTTTTACAGCTTCTCAAAATTTATCATCATTTTCCCCGATATTATTTACATTGAATTTATAAATAGTTTGTCTTTAATCGAGGTTTTCCGGATTGGGCACTCTTACGACTATTTTATTTTCGAATAACAGAAATGTTATGTCTACAACTTACAGTTAAACAGTTTCAACACTTGCCGATGTCACAACATCATAATTAAATCTATATACTCAAATAGCTTACAGAATATCAAAAGTTAGTTTCATTACAATCGTGATTCATAAGACCAAACATTACAATCTTAAAGAATTTCTTCACGAAACAATAGGAAAATGTTGTTATTATTACGGCAAACTTGTTTATAATACTACGTTCATTACCGTAATGACATAACATTTTATGGTTTACCGATTCCATCGCCAAATTGTTACTCTTTTTCTATTCTCACAAGTGTCTTTGACCCGTTCATCGTCCCATTTATCATTGTGTAAACTGTAATAATAATATACCGTAACGCGTAAGAGTGCTCCACGCTCCGAGTCAAGATTCGGAGTTAGTGGGCCAACTATGTCATTAGGTTAACGGGGAGGCATTTGCATATGATTTTAGTATCTTTTATGTAGTACTTACTTGTGGTTTTACTTACATTCCTTAAAAGGGTCAATTTTTTAAATAATTTATGTTTCTGAAGTCTATCGCATATCTTTATATTACTAGTATGGCCCTATTCATCGACTTATCACAAATTATATCTTCAATAGAGTCGTGGTGTTAAAATTGGAAATTATTTCTAGGTAATCGTATAATGATTTTTCTAAAAAATCGATTTCTTCCAAATATAGGTAGACACAATGCGACACATAAAAATATACTTGTGACGCGATGAGTCATAATCACATTGGACTGTTTGTTTAAATTTATGTAATTCTCATTAACCATTACTGGGTCGTCGTAATAATCCGATGACTCTGCTTGTTAATAAGATTACAGCTGATTAGTTTCCCGTGCGTTGCAAGGATTCAGTGCGATGACACTAAACTTGTTCACTTCACTGGGCTTATTATGAAATCATTACAACATATGTATGTATTTACTTGATGAACATAATTTACTTTTATTACAGGGTCCCGAGATGGTTCGTGTTTCAAAATTCTACAAAGAAGCGAAAAACGGCCGTTACCTTCGCTACTTACATGAAGACACACGTACACTTTACGAAACTTTCCGTCGGGGCGTCAAAGAATCAAGTAAGTAATTTCGATAACAGTACAAAATATTTATTTGAATCAAACAAACTATCAATTCTGTTTTTGTGGTTACAAAGTTGTGCAGTTACGATATCTAAACCTAGGCATAACTAAACAAGTTTACATACTCAGTTGCTTGCACTTATTGTAATAGTACGCATACAATTGCAAGATAGGGAGTGCCCCAAGGCACAATTCTAAGACCCACCTTATTTCCCTCCACGTTTCCGCTCGTTAACGATAAATACGATAATACCCCACTATTACAAAATATTGTTAACATCATTCAGAAACTGGTTTACAGGATACAGTTAAACGTAATTTGTGCCACTAGAGTAGCCGGGACAGTATTATTTTTTGTTTTAAACCACAATACACGGGCGCTTTGTACTCATTCACTTAATAAAAATAAAACATAGGAACAATGAAGCAAGTTTATATTGTACGGAATATTCCACCACTTAACCACTGGTCGAGTTAAGACAGCTTTATGAGATTGAAGACATGATAAATGATGACTATAATAAATATCTACAATGTTTAATGACAATTATTTAATCTCGTTGCAGATAATGGCAATTGCCTCGGTTGGCGTGAGGGACCAAATAAACCATACGTGTGGCAGACGTACAATGAGACTCTGCTAAGAGCGAAAAACTTCGGATCAGGACTTATATGTCAAGGACTTGTTCCTGGCCAAAACACATTTGTGGGTAAGTCTCCCATCAACATCTGATACGTGCAAGATAATTTTCCTTATGCTAAGCTATGTTTGTGTTTTTCAGGTATTTATTCACAGAATTGTCCTGAATGGGTGATGACAGAACAGGCTGCCTACTGTTATTCAATGGTAATTGTGCCGCTATATGATACTCTCGGAGCAAATGCATGTGCCTTCATTGTAAATCAAAGTAAGTACAAGTAACTTTTATAGTCCTTTTTAATTAAACCAACGTTGATTCGCTTGATTTATTTTTGTAGTACTTATCTGCAGTTACTAAACCTATAATTAAAGCTGAAAAGGCATTAACTTTAGTACGTAATTTTGATTAAAAATTCAGATTCAGATAAAGCTATAATGTCTGTAGAATACATTTTATTCCTTTTTTGTCTAGACGCTTTGGTTCAGATTCTTACGGTCCAAGTTTCTCAGAAAGCCGGGGTATTAGAAAAAGATAAAGAATTTTAATAATGTCCTAGATTGGCATCTAACTATTTCCTTTGTTCGTTTCAGCCGAAATGTCCGTAGTTATTTGTGAAGACGACAAAAAAGCCAATTTGCTCCTCGACCAGTCGCCGAGATGTTTAAGGAAACTGATCACCATTAAGGAGGTCTCGCCTTCGACGCATCAAAGAGCGAGGAGCCGAGGCGTTGAAATTCTTAAGTTCAGCGATGTTGAAATACAAGGCGCGCAAAAAGATCACCCTTGCCTCGTAAGTATTTTATTGTTTTATTTGACATTTTTTTTTAAAAAACACCATATAATATAGAACAAGTCTTGTATTAGAGGAAAATTCAAACTGTTCGTAGTTGGATTTTTTTGAAATTACATACAAAAATATTTGACTTGCACGATTTAAAAAATAATGTGAACTTTGTAATTCACAATCCTGTGTATTTTCTTCCAGCCACCAAAACCGGAAAGTCTATGTACAATCTGCTACACATCGGGGACTACGGGAATGCCTAAAGGCGTGATGTTGACCCATGAGAATGTAGTCGCGTCGATGTGCAGTGTTATTATGCAGCTTGGCGAACATCGGCCCATGAAACACGATGTCATGATCTCCTTCCTACCTCTTGCACACATGCTGGAGCGGTGCTGCGAGGTAATTCATCTTCTTATTCTCATGCCACCAAAGGGACCTTCTTACATAACTGTACCTGCTTTTACGAGTTAAAATTTCTATTATCGAGTATTTTCCTGTATTTTCTTTATTTGAGCAAATATGTACCTACCAACCAGTCGGCTTTTTACACAGACCTGCATGTGCTGTTTACAAAGTTCGAGTTCTTATGTAAATAGCGATACCGCTTAGCAAATAAGCTAAGCCAAGTGTGGCACCGCCATCAAATAAATGCCGCCCTTTATACACTGAGCTAATTATGTAATCGTAAGATGTCATCATTCCACGATTAAATTGTCCACTCGCTTGCCAAGTACTTACAATGATCATATCTTGTACAATTTATGCTACTGAGATACTTTTCGCTCACGCACTCTCCTCGCTATTTGGTTGAAAATCAGATTTTAATGAGTTTCTTGTGGCCTTTCTAGAATGCTCTCTACATGGTAGGAGGAGCTGTTGGTTTCTACAGTGGTGACATTCGACGGATAGGTGATGATTTGATTGCTTTGAAACCAACAATGATGCCCGCTGTACCTCGCCTTCTGAACAGGCTCTACGACAAAGCACAGTCTGAAATATCTAGTTCCAAGATCAAGAAATTACTTTTTAATATGGCGCTGTCGGCAAAGGAGTCAGAATTAAAAAGGTAATTACAAAACTAATTTACATTAAAACATCTTATTCCTGTTTAGTAGTGCGATTATTGCCACTGCTATCGACGTAATTAAATCAAGTACCAGAACTAAAGGGTTTATAGATATTAAAATAGTTAATTTAATAAGTTTAGTTATATCTTTGGCATTTATATGTTGGTTTACTCGGAAGGCCAAGTTAACTCGTCGAGTACCGGTTTTATAGACACAATTAAAGAACAATAGGTCGCGGTCACCGGTGACCGCTTGGTGTTTGACAGTTTAATATATTTTTTGCCTAAAAAAGAGAGACATAGTCTTTTACTACTGATACTTATATATTATGAAGTTCAGTACTCTTTATGGTCAACGGATATTGCCAATTACTGGCTACGATTGGCGATTTTATTGCTCTAATAATACCTTAGATGTGAAATTAATGTGACTAACAAATTCTCCCTTACCTAAACTTATTACTGTCGCAGCCGACTTGCTTAATTAGCCATTCGATTAATGACCTAGCCTGTTTATTAAATGGCATCGTTTAACTGTCTGGTACCACTTTATTTCTGAAACCAATCCGATTATTTTGGGGTTGCAATTCTAGCGTTACTAACTGGCCGATCTGGAAGTTAGTGGAGGAGATCTATGTTAGTAGTAAACGTCTTGTGGTCGATATGATGATGATTAAAGTTAATGTATCTGTTTACAGGGGCATAGTGCGTAGTGACTCAGTCTGGGACAAACTGGTGTTCCGCAAGGTGCGCGAGGGTATGGGCGGTCGCCTGCGTATCATGGTGGTGGGCTCCGCGCCTCTTGCCGGAAATGTGCTCACCTTCGCAAGATGCGCGTTGGGCTGCCTGGTATGTATACGTAGTGCTTCTTTACCATTATAATTAACTTCAAAAATATATCCAACCAATACGTGATCTTGGACTGTAATAGTGATGATTATGTTTGAAGAAACGACAAAAATAGCATCAGATTCTAAAAAAAATGATCACAAATCGATTGCCTATGGTAGAAAAGCTACTAATTTCTACGAAACTTTCGATTCTTGGCAGACGTGTGAAAACTGATCAATTTGTAAATGTGAGCCAATGAAATGGAGTAGACAACGTGCGTCAAAAGTTATGCGATGACATTGTAGTCAATCATTTATCTTCACTCATTGACATCCATCATTAAAATGCATGATTGGCGTTCCTCAACAGTAACGATGGTACTCGTGCCGTGTAATATTAGACATTGGTCATCTCATGTCTCGAGGGAATGACAGGTTACTAATAAGCACGTTTAATGGCTTCCATTAAATCTACTACCATGACTACTTGGCAATGAGCCGCAATGTGGTCGAAGAAGCTTCACGAATTCTGTAAAGAAAACATTCTTGGGTTCTTCGTCGAAGAATGAAGAATAGTCTGGATAGTAGTACATTTTGTATTACGCTCGTGGATTGAAAATAACTGTCACAAATACAATGATTTAATTTTAGATTACTACATTATTGTCTGAACATTTGAAAGACAAATCTAACATAGTCTACCACATCAATCTTCCCGCATATCACAAATTGTCTTCTGCTATCCAGTCGTATGGAATACCGCCAACAGTCCTCTCAGCTATTTCGAGAACAGTTTTGCTCTTATTTTATATCATAACATTTTGATTGCCACGGAGCAGAATAATATCAATGTGTTCATAAATTATTTTGACGGCCGTACTATGCAGTGATGTTTGTTTTCCTCGAACAAATATTATTATGTTCACTTCATCGCCTTCTATTAATGTAAGATCTAAAAATGTTTTTGATTTATCTATCTAGACCATCTCAGTCTCTTTTAAATTTTCATTCACATCTATTGTTGTCAAATGAGTCACAGTAAGAGGCGTCTCTTGATTTGGTTTAATAACCACGCCTACTGCAGTGTGAATGACCGTTTAGTTTCAGGTTACTGCAAAATCTTTTGTTTCTTCAAATGAAGGAAATTAATTTAAACGGTCTTTATTACTTTGTAACGGAATAATTCACGTCACTGTCATTGAGTCGACGATTTTAGCATTGTCTAAATTTTTGTATATCTATTGTTCTAAATATTTCGTTTTGGATTTAATGGTTGTTTGAATTTTTATTAAGATTTTTAAGGAATTCGTATAATCCGTTATAAACAGTGATCTTTGTTCATTCTTATCCACCCACTTCGTTAATCCTAGTGAAATTATTCGCTCGTGAACTCTTGTTGTCATCGTTTATAAACGCGGTTACGCAAACAAGATCGTTTATTCTTGAGATACTTTTTTCTACAAACAAGATTACTAGGCTTGTCTACGTAGTAAAAATATAAATATCATTTAATTAGATGCTAATTAAGTTTTGGCCAAGCACGGATGACGCGTTATCTTGAAGAGATGTTGTTGTATTAATATAATTTTATGTTTTTTTCAGATCGTGGAAGGCTACGGTCAGACAGAATGTACGGCACCAGTTACTCTCACAGTTCAGGGAGACCACGTACCTGAACATGTCGGTCCTCCCGTCGCTTGTTGCAAAGTGAAGGTAAATTATAATCACTCTTATGAAAAGTAAGAAGGTACAAAAGCTTGACAGACAAACAAACAAAATGATTTTATAATTCACAGTTCAAATAAACGAGATTTGAAAAGACACATAAACATGTTTTAGCCCATATACTGTTACATCTAGAATGCTCTTTGATCTAAAGAATCTAGGCTAAACGGATCGAATATGATATAACAGCAAACATTTGGCTGATTCACTCCACCCACCGACCAATATTTTAACACCTCGGATATCGGCACCTGCCAAAACATTTGAGTAACCGGCTTTGACAAATGACCATTAAACCCAGGATACAGCAAATGGCTCAGACTACTTTCAAATGTTTACTCAAAACGGATTAATGGCTTCAACTTTAATAACCTTCCTCAATTCAAGATACTTCTGGGAATTTTCAAATCAAATATATCTTTACCTACTACCGGATTGATCGACCTTCGCGATGATATATGTGAAGACAGACGCATTTATTCATAGATCATATCATATTTTTTCAAGCCAAGAGTTATTGGTCTACTTTTAAAATCATATTTTATAGGATTATTGATATTATTGCGCATTAGTAGCTCTTAAATCTGTTATTTTAGCGAACATTTTAAACTGTAATTCATCACTTGAAATGTTTAGTTTTGCTTAGAGGAAAATCTGTAAAAGTTAAATAAGCTATGAAATTTGTGGTTTCGGTAGCCAATTGTTTTTCCTCAAATTGATCTATTTCAACATTATCCTATCTAAGTACATAATGTCAAAAATCCCCTTTCATCAAACCCGGCTTACATTATTTTCTTTTCCGCTTTTGTTGTATTCTCCGAATGGGTAGGCTACACTATTTTTGTTACGTTACAAGTACATTTTGTGTACCTAATTTATATTTATTGGTAAATTAAATAAAGACTCCTACATCTTTATATTTGTTTACTTCATCTAAATTTCATTTTATACTTTATTTGTCTTCAGTTAGTGGACGTGCCCGAGATGGAGTACTACGCATCACAAGGCCAGGGAGAAGTATGCGTGCAAGGCGCGAACGTGTTCAAGGGATACTTCAAGGAGCCGGAGAAGACTAGAGAGGTCATTGACCACGACGGGTGGCATCACACGGGAGATGTTGGCAAGTGGCAACCCGTAAGTGCAACTTTTTAAATTGATCTTAATTTATTTTTAAATTAAAAGCAATTTTTGATGGTCAATGGTCATTATTGGAAACCGAATGGAACTGAAATGGATAAAGATGATTCTGCTTCTAGTTTTTCGTTTCCAGTAGGTAAAGGATTTAACTTATAACTTGTGTTATAAGGTTCAATTTATTGCTTAGTAGTTTCACATCGCCATTGGTGTTGGTTTTAAAGCAGCAATTGTATAAGTGTCAGTTGCTTGCTACTACTTTTTCTTCAGGCGATAAAAAGTAATTGAATACAAAAAATATAATAGATTCCATTTCTCTCATTTCAGAATGGAACCCTGAAAATTATTGACAGAAGAAAACATATCTTCAAACTGTCGCAAGGCGAATACATAGTTCCTGAGAAAATTGAGAACATTTACATTAGAAGTCAGTACGTCGAACAAGTTTTCGTACATGGCGAGTCTCTAAAGGTAAATAAATTAAGAATTCATACATTATTACATTAAACTGTCAAACACCGCGCGGTCACCGGTGACCGCAACCTATCCTTACTTTCCTTACTTATATTATAAATCGGAAAGTGAGTTTGTTTGTTTGTTTGTTTGTTCCGCCTTCACGCCGTAACTACTAGACCGATTGCTTTGAAATTTTGCAAACGTAAAGTTAGAAGTCTGGATTAAATAATAGGGTACTTTTTATCCCGGAAAAAAAATGATATTTCCTAGGAAAATCAAAAATATTGATATAGATGGCGCTGTATGTACTGGTATAGATGGCGTTGTATGTCATTTAAAACCAGTCAACGAATTACCTAGTTATTGGAAAAATGTAAATAGCGCGATATAACCGAATTCCACGCGAGCGGAAAGCTATTTATTTGTTTGCCTGTTTTAAACGGCAGAACGGATTTTTTAACTGAATGTAGTTGAATGGATGGATAGTCACATAGGCTAATTTTTATCCTTTTGTGACGCGAGCGAAGCCGCGGGTAAAAGCTAGTTGTTCTATAATTGTGTCTATAATGACGGTACTCAACGAGTTAATACGCAGAATCATAACTTGCATAACTTGCTTCTTTGTATATGGGTAGGCAGAAACTACAAAGTGCCGTGTAGTATGTTCTTTACACTCTTCTATAGCATCCACCACACAATCTTGCATCTATTCATACTAGCACACCGATTAACAGTACTCAGCACCTGATCTTTTTTGATGTAATCAATCAATCAATCATGTTCTATGAAACCTACGTATGTTTTAGTCAGCCCACTATGTACCATTTCTGATATAGACTTTGTTCTGTCGTTAACTTTCTCAATGTGCTCAGAGAATCTAAGCATACTTCATTTATCTTATTGATTATATGTCCAAATATTCAACGTCACTCAATGTTATGTCGTCCTTACATATAGTTAGCTGTTTCTACAAATTGTAAAATAAAATAGATGACACGATATTTAAGTGTCTACGTGCATAAAATTTTAAAATTGAGTAGGCTTTCAGTTTTTGTCGATAGTCACAATTTTTCTACCGCATCATTTGCTTCTATGAGGATCCTCAATTAATAAATTATTCCTCTCAATAACAGGAAACCGATTTCCTGTTTTTAAGCTGTAAACTATCTTCACACTCAGCTAACTAATCGATCAATATTTTTAGGCACTGTCAGTCAGTCAGTTTTTGACATGGAGTTGTATGTACTTGTAGTGACAGTGCCAAGAATTTCGAGTTATATTTCAACAAGTATTTTCTAAAAATAAAACGTTGTATGATATTAAAATAGTAATTTATTATTAGGTTGGTTATATGGTGAATGAAAATTGCAAATTAAACGTGGTTGTTGTAATAGGTGTCTGATTCGAGGTTCTGATAAAAATAGGTTAAATACTGAGAGTAGTAATACGAACTTTCATACTTGCTCTGCATATGGCAATAGGACCACCCGTAAAAAGAAATATATGGCTTGGGACTTGTAATGAAGCTAGAACATCAAAACATATCATTCTTTGATAAATAAATTGAGAATGTCCTACAGAACTTTACCAAATTTGGGCGACTTAACTTGATCGTATTAAAAGTTTACTGCACAATATAATAAACTAATACATACATGACCTCACGCCTGTTTCCCATGGGGGTTAGCAGAGATTGTGGAACGACAATTGCTACGATTCTTACATACCTCTTTCGCTTCCTCAAAAGCCTTCAGTTTTTTCACGCATGGGCATCGGTTAAGGGTACTTTAGTACAAACTACTCTAATCTGTGCATCAAAGAAAAACTTACTTTATTATCTTTTAAATTGAGTTGAAATTCCACCTAAGAACTTTATTAATTAAGGGTAACTCAAAGTCCTCGCTTATATATTATACAGTCTAATATTTGTTTTCTTTCCTTCCAGTCATGTGTAGTAGCAGTGGTCGTCCCAGACGTGGACGTGGTGAAGTGCTGGGCGCTGGAGAACGGCATCAAGGGGACATTCTCAGCACTCTGCGAGGACGAGCGCGTCAAGAAGATCATCCTCGAAGACATGCTGCAGTGGGGACGTAATGCTGGACTTAAGACCTTTGAACAGGTGAGTGTTTATACCAGTGATGACAGTACTTTCTTAGTAAATTTTGTCCATATAGTCCAAATACTCGAACGCGACTGAATTTTAAGTCGCACTTAATTATAGTTCTGTCACTATAAATCTACTATATAAAAATAAGTCGGGTTTTCATTCCTGACGCTATAACTCCAGAATGCTCGAACCGATTTCCACGGTTTTGCATTCGTTGGAAAGGTCTCGGGCTCCGTGAGGTTTATAAAATAAATTTAACAAAATAAATTCTTCGTCTTTACATAAAACGAAGCTATCTGGTGGCGAAACGGAGTTCGTCGGGTTTGCTAGTTCTTTATAAAATGACAGAGAAGGCACGATATTTAAGTCTTTGACTGCTGACAGAAAAAATGTTAAAGGCAAATCCTTCGCTAACGTAGGTAGCCATTCGGTATTCGGGCAGAATTGTGTCAAACATATGACATATCATCCCCTAAATTTGTCCATACAAAAGTAGTCTCTAATCATCGGAAATAAGGTCTATAATGTAGCTAGTGGAGAGCGGTCACCGGTGACCGCTTGAGGATAAATGGGTTTTACTCCAATTAATTTAAGTACTGATGATATCCTACTTCTAACTTTGCTCTAATAAGATTAGAGCATGAAACTCTGTAATTGTGAATAGATGTTTGTTACTTTAATACACAAAAAATACTTAACAGAAATAGATAAAATTGGACATAAGTTTTAATTGGTATCGGTTTTACATCAAATACTTTATTCTAATCATTTAGTCAAAGCCAAACTACGATCAAAGTAAGGTGTTATATAAGAGACATCGTGAACCTATAAAAATCAATCTTTACAAGTAGGTAAACAGTTGCAGTTTCCTTTGCTGAACTGTTCCATACGTGTATTGAGCTGATGACGACTTGAATGGATTTAACTTGCATGCAATCCTAAAATGAAAAGGACGCTTTATGTATCTACAATAGGTACATCATGGTGCCCTGTGATAGAAATAATTACATCATGTTTCAAATATATTTCATATCATGAAGCAACCTACATTACGACGTAGCACAACATTGACAATGAAATATTATTTTATCGACAACACAAAAACTAGTCTTGTTCGACCACTATTATCATTGATTGTATTATCAACGCTATCTTAATTCTATTTCGGTAACACGATAAACCGAAATCGATGATTGTATTCAATTCAATATCATTCTTAAATATTTCCTTAATAAAATTCATTTTATTTTTAAAACTAGGAAGTAATCAATTGCAATCCTTATCCAGCCAATTACGTTCTTAAAATAAAAATTGATTAAAACGTCTCGATTTTGTTTATTTTGAGAATTGTTCCAAGGATTTCTTGGTATTAAATTTAATGCTTGCTTACTAGTGGTATGATAGTTTACACGTGGTTACATTAGGATGTGGCGTAGCTATAAATGCGTAGTTAGAAAATTTATTTTTATTTCAGATATCTTTAATATATATGAATTGCGGATCGATAGTATTTGTGCCAAGGTTACTAAAATTGAAGAAGGCAGATTTTGTCCAACCCGCATTGAGCAAGCGTGGTGATTAATGCTCAAACCTTCTCCGTGTGAGAAGAGGCTTTGCTCAGCAGTGGGCATTTATAGACTGTTGATGATGAGATTTTGTCTCACGAGGATATTTTGTACATTAACCTCTGGAGTGTCGATACATAATAGAAAATACATCGTGTCTCGAGTAGATTTACGTTCTGCATACCACGGGTTAATCTTGGACATAGGCTTTGAATAATATTTAGTCGTCCACTTTTTGTCTGTATTTTTATAATTCTCCGCTATATAGAGGTATTATAAGAGTTCCATCACTTGGAACTACTTTAATCTGTCAAACACCAAGCGGTCACCGGTGACCGCGACCTATTGTTCTTTAATTGTGTCTATAAAACCGGTACTCGACGAGTTAAGCTTCCCCACTTTTTTACTATCTTTTATTTCTGCACCCATAATTCTAAATCGTTCATTTCTATCTTCCACAGGTCAAAGACATCTACCTACACCCGGACCCCTTCTCAGTACAAAACGGTCTCCTGACGCCCACAATGAAAGCAAAACGGCCAGAAATCAGGAGCTACTTCAAACCCCAAATAGAGGACATGTACAAACAGCTGGAATAACAGCGTCGCACGCTTTATGTAGGTGAATGCGTTCAAATTATGAACGAAACTTTATTGCGTGACTGTACTTTGACGTGATTGAGGCTTGAGGGACTTTGTTGCTTTAGTAAGTTATTTAAAGAAGTATTGAGTAAAACAGCTCGATTGTTACGCATTGGTTTGTCGGTCAAATGGTGTTTGACATCAACTACACCTGAGTCAGCACTCGTAGAACATTAACTTAAAAATTCTGTAGTAACTGATAACAAAAATGAATGAAAATTATACGCAGAACAATTTACGGTGTAACACACACTAATTAAAAATTTAAACAGAAGTAACGAGTAATAAAAAGCGTTAAAATATCGTAGCGTTCTGTTTGAAACCGCCGAAATTCTTCTTTTATGACCACTAAAGAACTGGTGAGCTTGTTAATTCGTTTTCTAATGTAAAGTTTGTTTTTACATCCCAATTGGATGGAGGCCAAGTTCAATAACAAAAAAACACAACACAATGAATTATGAGGTGAAGGAAGTTGGTATAGGTCCAAACAATACAATGGCCGTGCCAATTAGCGCAATCGGTGACGCCACAAGCGATTTGGACTCGATTCTTTAATGACGTGAATCGATTTTAAATCGAATAGCAAAGTTTAGCACACATTTAATCTACATCAATCTTTACTGTAATTTCTCCGACATATTTTATAACTAGTTTGTTTTTCTTGGTTTCCCTCAAGGTTTAGTATTCAGTATTTCATTTTTATTGACTGTTATAACTCAAAGAGTAACCGTTTAGTTCAAACTCGGCGGTTTCACACACATCGTATCATTTACGATTTTTTTAAACTGGGCCAACTGTCTTTTTTTGTCTAAAGTAATATAGTATCTTGCTTATTTTTTAAATAATTTAGCAAGATAGATTATAATTTATTTCTATTTAACGGATGCATTAACCTTATGTATATCTGTTACTTCGTCAACGGCTTTGTCTTTATTCGCACAATGCAATAATGCTATTCAAACAATCGTAATAAATCTAGATCTAATTATGACGACAATAAGACATCAATAAAAAGTCGTATAATGACTAATATTATTGTTGTTAGTCACATTATTTCTACTTATTGAAGCAATGAAGTCACTCTTTACTGTGATGTATAACGCCAACTAAACTTTTATATAGCAACGTCACAAAAAATTGTGCTCGCTATTATTTTAATAATTTCACTTTTGCCGACGCAAAAATTATACACTGTGCTAAATTTTAATATACAAGTATAGATAATGACGCTAATTTATTTATACACACAGACCATACGAACAAAAGAGTTAATAATAGTACCAAAACTATTGATGACTCTTTCCGATAAACCCATTGAGGTAAATGTAATGATAGTCTCAATTATAAACTGGTGTAGAAAGAAATTGGCGTCAAAACATTTGATTACACGCATATTAATTTGTAACGAACAATACTCTTTGAAAAATTATTAAACGTAGCTACTTTTGTATATAATCAAATTGAATAGTAAGTAGAGAGAAGTTTTTGAGGGGCAAAAATAAATAGATTTAAGGGTGAAATTAAGACGAGGTGTAGGCTCGCTTGGTATGGTTGCAAAACTTTTGAAGATGGCAAAAGTCTCGTATAGCACCATGCCACGATGCCTCATCTCGTCTGACGCACGCGTTAATGTAATGGCAATAAAATTAACGGAAACTCTAGTTTCCTCTGCGGTCAATTACGATGATTCCTCAATTTAAAACATACTTGAGCTCCAATCTTGTATATTTTCATAATAACCCTCTAATAAGTGATTTTATGAGTAATCTACGCTACGCCGAACGCGCTTAGTCGATTACTTGGTACACGGTTTTCAAAATCGATTGGTAAATACCTTCCTAAAAACTAGCCATCATCTGACCAGTTAGCATTGAATTGTAATTTATACAGTATTCCTAATTCCTCATGTGTATTGCAATAATAATATACAAAGCCAGCATATACATGTTCCCTGACTAAACAAACGGAATTGCCTATAGCTATTCTAGGATTATTTATGATAAACACTCATGATATTTCAATTTTATAGGAAATATCTACAATAAATAGAATTAGGTAAAATTGTAAGCAATATGATTTCCTTTACAATCGTATTTAGTCACAAAATATTAGGAAATATGGATCAAAACTAGATGAAATGGACAATTTAGCACATGAAGCTATTTTATATTACAAAAGAAATGAATATATGCCGTCACTATGTAAGTGACACAGTCCAAACATGACTTTTGATAATATAGCCATCTATTATAATAATCTGAAGTCTTATTTCAAGGCACAGGATATAGCTTTTGGATTTATAATACTTATGATGTTTAGAAAGTTGATCACCATCGTTATGGTTGTATTATAGCGAAGTCGCGTAATTTTCAGTACAATCAGCTAGTATTGTAAGAACATACAAGTATGATACCGGATACCGTGCCTTCGACAGATATTTAACCCGTACAGGATACTCTTTTTGTTACTAGCTAAGTTCTTTTTTATTTTTTTTGTCTAACTATTGTGTGTTGAAGTTTGCTTTCGTGTTGGGGCTACATTGAAACAAGTCTCAATTCCCTGAGACGTCATACTTAGGAGTTTTATGCCAATGTATCTCCAACATTGTCTGAGGGGTGAATCTCCGTTTATGTGTTGAATGTTAGTGAGTTTTACATGACGAAATAGTAAAATGTAATACTTAATCCTAGGTCAAACTGTCGCACCGTGTAGTATATAATTTAGTAATTCTAGAGCGCAATATTAATAAGTTGATATGCTTTGAGCGAACGTTACGGTTTCATGTTGTTCAAACCAAAATTTTGTTGTTATTGGTGCAAGTTGTACTACGATAATTTATTTTTAAATAAAATTTAAAAAGTGTGCAATGTTTTTTATTTTATTGTTATTCCTTGTAGGTATAGATAGTCATCTAGAGGTAATTCATTTACTAACACCTCATTGATCAGTTTATGAACAGAATGTATGCAGAAACAGAAATTTATCATTCAACAGGTTGACTTATCTTTTTGATCGTGATCCTTACGATAAGAGAAGCAAAATGTTCCATCCATTCATTACAAATCGTTGCATCCAAATCTACTATTAAACGCAAATGAAGTTGCTCTTTGATATGGTAATCTTCATACAGGTTCCGACTAACAGGATGAACCAGACTTCTGAATACCTGTTGCAAGGCAAATTTTAAATTCATCAGGAGTTTTATACGTTTTTTGTGCTTCCTGGGAGGAGTAATCAATTTCGAAGAAATGGTATGTTCATGCAATGACGGGAAAATCCATAGCTGCAAGATCCTTTATGGAAAAATACATGAATAACTGTAATTTTATGGAAATATGCCTTATTTGGAGTGTACTCAACTTGCAAAATAAAACCGTATCTTCATTTATACTTCTATTTACATGTAAAATTATTTTTTTTCGTCTCCTAATTATGTTATCATGTCCAAATCTAGACTTAGTTCGACAAATTGCAGCGTACAATACGTAAAATGACCTACGTAATGATTATTATAATGATCAGGCTGTAGAATGCCAATCTCGTGCTTCACGCAAGCGGTTGCGTTACCATGAACTAAAATACGCTGATTAACAGTGAACAACTATGACGATAGAAGGCAATGTCTACTACAATGTTTCTACTTTTATTGATGACAAAATCCTAGATTCTGTCACCTTGTGAGGCGTTTAAGTTCTAGTCTTGAGTCTTGATGTTTTCTTTTATGGGATAAGCCGGTAAACGAGTAGACGGATCACCTGATGGTGAGCAATCGGCGTCGCCCATGAACACCCGAAACACCAGAGGTGTTACAAGTGCGTTACCAGTCTTTTAGGGATTAGGAATTTGAGGAATGTGGATGATTCAGGGATTGGGGAGATTGGGGAGGGAGAGGGATAATTGGGCCTCCGGTAACCTTACTCACACGGTTTTCTGTGAGGCTTGTGTCATGCCGGTCGAGCCGGTCTATTCGTGCCGAAGTATAGCTCTCCCACCTTAAAATGTCATATTTCACAGGAACATTAATAATTGAGGATATTCACTTACTTTTTTAAACTCATCTAGACTACCTTTAACCTACTATCGTTTATTTAACACATTTGATGCAACAACCTTTCCTTATTATTTGACGAGGTAATTTTTGAAAGGGGTGCGTAATCGTACAAAAATATTTAGAAAGCACTGAGATACTCATACCTCGGAAATTGTTAGTTCTCGTTTGTCAATAATCGAGTTAACAAGATTTTGGTGCAAATTATGACTGTGTGTTATTATGAATCAATGAAGAAGTAAGTTTAATTTATTTTTATTTCTATTATCTAGGTATCTACATTATGTTAATAGCACATGACAACATGACTACAACAATATACTGAGGACTAGTAGTCTACGGGCATGTTCTAGAAAAGATGATACCTTATTTTTACGCCTTGTAGGCGGGTTGGCAATGCAGTTCGAAGGTTCAGGTTTATCAGATAGCGCTGTTGCGCATTCTCTGTCAAATATGTGGTCCCACAGTTAACGCCAAGGATATCCGTGTGAAGAGTGGGGATGGTAACAATATTGTATTCTACTCTGTCGTAATCAAAGAGGCCGTAATCCCAGGGCGAACCTACATCATGTACCTAAGTAAAATATGAATTAAATTCTACCCCCGATTATAAATTGGCTACCTAAATAAACAATCTAGATATTTACTGAAGACTAGTCACAAGATTGTAAATCCACGTGGACATATTTGCGTGGGATCTTGGTTGTTAAAAATTCAATGTAGGCACGTGTTCAGGTTGAAATCATTGCACGTATCATATACCAAGAAGTGTGAGGCGTGGACGGAAATCTCATAACTACTGTCTAGATAGCTACTGCGTATTTGTCATAGGTAAATAAGTTGCACGCGTTGAACAGACTACCTATATCAGCGAAAATATTTGAAGATAACTCGCATTCAGGACTGCAAA